AAGAATTCCGCCATTTTAGCTTGTTTAGTGACAGCTGATAGTTAAACTCATATAAATCTTGAATGTGAAGGTGCGATGTTACGACTTCATAGTTTTTGTACAGTAAGGTCTGCCTATCAGAATATATCTTAGCAGTGCCGATTCATTAGAACACTGCCGAGAGCCAGATCCTTGAAAAAGCAGGTAAAAAAGCGCTTTTCAAAATTCAACATCTCATAACTTCTTCAGTGCGTAATTCATGTTGCGACTTCATACGTTAGATTCTTCTCATCAAGAGCTTTCAGACAATGTATATGTGGGGGTTCGGTGCCTCCTACGACTTATGCCCGAGGGGGAAACTTTTCATCACTAATATTTCCCTCGCCCACTCCAATGTAGGCTGGCAGCCGCCAGAGGAGAATTAGTGGATGAAAAGTCTCCCTCTCGGGCATAAGTCGTACAGGAGGCACCGAATCCACACGTGCTATACATTATACTTGGGTCCGAATCGAATAGAAATTCGATCATTCGAATAAAACATTCGAATATATTCGTATTCGAAATTCGATATTTGGAGTTCTTCCATTTTCGAATAATATTCGAAACTCGAGTAATTGAGTAGACGGGGTTTCGAATAAAATTCGAAAAGTCGAATAATCAAAAAACGGGGTTTCGAATAAAATTCGAAAACTCGAATAATAAAAAAACGGGGTTTCGAATAGATTTACTCGAATGTTTTATTCGAATGTTTATTCGAATTTGTATTCGAATGAACTTCGTATTCAGATTATTCGATTTTGTTGCAGAGCCAACTGCTGAGTATCAAGCTCACTTCGTCCGCGTTTATTTTCGCAAAACTCGGTAATGCATCTTTTGCAACCGTTATGACCTTTAAACTGCATGGAGGGTCGCATTCTTCCGACTGCTTGACAGTAAAAAATAATATGTGGATTTTAATTGATGCTTTTTCGATCATTGAGATTGTTCGCACTGCTATTGGCACCAAATCAGCAAAGAAGCTATCAAATTCAAGCTCATGTTCCGAGTTCATATATTGACAGTGTTTTGAAATGCCTGTTTTTCTTTCTTTGGATTGCTCATGCTTGTGGTACGCAAAGCCCACCTAGTGAGCACTCTTGCTCGCATAAGTTATATTGCACAACTGCCTCTAATCGCTACCTTAGATTTTTTTGCGAATTGGTGTATTTTGAGTAAAGGACATCGCAATTGTAGTGGAGGATTAGACGGTTTGGATCGCCGTACGCGATTTGCCAGTTACGAGATGTCTTCAAATGTAACGCCAGCTTACCACAAATGTTTAGCGTGTACAACTTACTAAAAAGGTAAATGCCGTGCATTCTGTACTTTTAGAATAAGTTTTGGACATGACTATTGCCAAACCACGTCGCCACTGAAATGCCTGCAGTATGCTCAGGGCTAGGGGTAATCGTGCTCGCTTCGCGGGATAAACTACATGCCTTCGTCCACGATTAGCTTATGCCACCCAAGACGAAAGTCTCCGATGAACAGGCAATGTATCGTAGCATTTGTGGCACTTAAGTACATATGTGGCCACCGTTGTTGCGGGGCTGGGAGTTGGTACAAGGTGGTTAGTGAGGGTGCTGATTATGGATAAAAATTTACTTTATCGAATTTATCGATTTTTGGAGAAGTCTTAGCTGCGGGACTGGGAGTTGGTGCAAGTGGGGTAAGTGAGGGTGCTGACTATGGATAAAATTTACTTTATCGATTTTGCCGATTTTTGGAAAATCTTGAGCTACGAGGTTGGGAGTTGGTATAGGGGGGGGGGGGGTAAATGAGGATGCTGATCAAAACCGGAATCTGTTTTATCGATTTCAGCGATTTTCGGAAAATTTTGAGCCAGGAGTTGGTATAGGGGATACGAGGGTGCTGATTGTGAATGGATCGGCTTCAGCAAGATATGTCAGGAAGTTTGAGATATGGTTGCTCTAGTTACTCGATAAATCATTCGAATATTTATTCGAAATTCGGCTCCCAATGTTCGAATATAATCGATATTCATTCATTCGATATTTTTGATTTTCCGAATTTATTCGAAATTCATTCATTCGAAAATTTTAGAACCTCGAATTTATTCGATATTCGTTTATTCGAGATTTTTTATTTTCGAAATCATTCGATATTCGTTTATTCGAAATTTTTCCTTTGCGAATTTATTCGATATTCATTCATTCGATGAACAATTTTGGAATTACCCAAGTATACTATACATCATCTGAAAGCTCTTGATGAGAAAAATCTAACGTATGAAGTGTCACAACATGATTCACGCAGTTCTGAAGATGTTATGAAATGTTCAATTTTGAAAAGCGCTTTTTTACCTGCTTTTTCAAGAGTCTGGCTGTCGGCGGTGTTTTAATGGATTAACCGCTAAGATATATTCTGGTAGAACATACTTTACTCTACAAAATCTATGAAGTCGCAATATCATACACATTCATATCCAAGATTTATAGGAGTTTAACTGTCTGCTGTCACTAAGCAACCTAAGATGGCTTAGTCTTTGAAATTTTGGTTCTCGCCGACTATCTCTCAAATCGACTTGATTTTTCACTATCTAAAAGAGCACCATTTACTCTTCAAAATCTATAAAGTCACAATTGCTGACATCTTCAAAAACCAGATTTATAGTAGTGGAAATTTCGCATGATTTTTAAATTATTATTCAGAATTCTGGTTCTCGGCGGTTATTACCTGGATCGACCTACTTTCTTCGCAGTACGTCATAATAAAATTTACGCATTACAATCCGTAATGTTTCGCCGAGTTTCACTTCCATATACACCATATTATAAACACGTTTATCTCAAATATTCATACCGCTGTACACATGAAAATATGCCTTCAATATTCTCTTTGGCGTTTGTTTTGCTTCGCGCACTGACGGCAACGACATAGAAGGATATGCCCAGGACGCTTCCCTCTCCCCCTCCCCGTCTGAGTGTCCGGCACCACCATCTTCACTTTTTGCGGCTAGTGGCAGCTTAGACCACCTTCACTTTTGGAAAATCGGCTCCCCATCGCACCTCTGATCAAGAGCTTCAATATGATAGGCAGTTTGCTAGGATTAAATTGAAAAGGACGACGAAAAGGCTACCAGAGCCAAGTGCCCCGCGCTCTGCGTTTGGGGTAGCGAGGTGGCGCGCAAGGCGAGGAGACGCAGTCGAGCAGCGTAAAAAGACCACAACCTACGATGCACTTGGCTCTAGATCTCGGCGGGGTCTTAACAAAACCCTGCACTTTTATCGTTGTGATCCTCATGACACGACCAGGAGCACTGACAACTTCGCGGATGTTGAATATTACTCATTAACGCGATAAAGAGACATTTAAGTGGCGACTCTGCGCAAAATTTAAGCGTCCTCGTCTTCATTGAACTCCAACAGCGTGAACTTTTAACGCTCAATCGTAGTCCATAAAAAGGTTAATTGAGAAACGTCTTGTTTTCTGAGCTTTTTCAAATATCACTCACTAATTTTGCCTCACTCACATCTCCTATATAATCATTTCGAAAAATCTGGGGCTTCGCCCTGGATAACTTCTGTTCTATTCTCCAGATGAAGGTCGTGTTCTATCATGACGCCCAAAGTGAAGGTTACCAGAGTACATGGCTCTATGTACTCTGGTAACCTGGGTTTTAATATTTGGGAATTAACCAGAACTTTCGCCCCTCAAAAGTTTTGCCATTTTATCGAGCCATCAACAACACCCAACCAAATTTCAATGGAGTAGAAAGGTAAAACATGAATGGGGCAGTTGTCTATGAGGATATTTCCAAAGGCATTTCACTCAATGATTAAAGCACCGCACTTGAGATGTGTTCCAATATCACTCAAAAGACCTGGACATGGTAACTCAAGGGGGAGGGGTAGCATATTATTTCTAAGGTCAAAGATATAAGCGCAAATGTGCCCAAAGCTCCACCGAAAATTCGGCTCAAAAAATGAAAAATTCTGTGAAGGCTGCAAATAAAACAAAGGTACTTTACAAATACGGGCAGAGGTATTTTTATAATTACCCATGCTAATGTCTCCTTTCTTTCTATGAATGTAGCATATGCACATCGTACAATACAAATGATTTACGTGGTTTCTATCATGAAGCAAGTATCAAAACGAGCAACAGGCCAGCTCCGGTAGTAGAATAAACCGTTTCATGGAATGGAATTGCAGATTAGTACGCAAAGGAACTTTTTATAGAAACGCAACTTGAAATCAGAAAAGGTGACTGCCTAGGTTATGTTTTATATAAGGAGCACATACACTGTAAAAATGATTTTTTATACCCGTGCACTAATGATAAGGCAACGGCAAGAGCAAATCGATGAATACCTTGCAAAGTCAAATACATCACGAACAAGAAGGCGGAGCAATACCAAACTCAGGATTTCTACTTCCTTTGAGTCAAGGAAGGACGATAAGGTGATAAAAGGGCTAAAGATTGTGGGACTACGAGATTTCACATTACGATAGCATGTGATAAAGCAGTAGAACAAAAGCAATTTGTTGCATTCCATAGCTCAAATAAGAGCTTAGCGAGAGTTTTTGATGGCGCCAAGTTTAGGAGGTTTCATCCGAATCGGTTCATGCTCGTATTCGTTGAACAACTCAAACGACTCCCGTTGAATCCGATCAATAACACTCTTTGTTTGCGGATCAGCGTATACAGTCGTGGTAGGACGATATTTACCATCGCCAGTGGGCATTAGCAGGATTACCTAAAAACGTAGTTCTTTAGGTTCATGAGTTTAATCCGAGGGGGATTCGATGCACTTTTATAATAGTCCATTTCCTCACAATAAAAAACGTGAAAAACTATGCCACATTGATAGATAAAAGCGTGATTTTTTAGAAAGAAAATTAAACATGATTTGAATTATCGAAAAGCTAGTGGTTCAACAGTGAAAAGTGAAAAACAAGAAGCACTCTGCCAAAGCGCTTTTTCTCAAGAAGTCTTTCTGATATTATGCAAAGGACATTCTTGTTTTTAACTGAATATCACACTTTGAAATTATGTAAATTCTTTCAAACAAGAAAAAGGGAAATTTTGCAGAAAAGCAAATAAAAAGATCAAAGAGTAAATCTGTGACTTTCAATCTGTAACTGCCACTTCTTTTTAATGATCAAACTTGAAGATTCTTTGATCAGGGTATAATGCACAAGTTTGCAATGTGTCATTTTCATCATCGTTGGGCCGCCTTTTATTATGGGTTTTTCAAACCAGTGAAGGAACCGAAGATAGAAATTGTGTTTTCCGAGTTTTTAAGTTGTAGATTTCTTTCAAGAAATCCTTTTACTAATTTTTGGCTGGAGTCTTGATGTTCAATGAATGTTGCCCGGGTGAAAATATTGTAAAAACTTGCAAATTTCAGACTTCTAAAAATAGTCCCAAGGAAAAATGTGATTTTTCGCAGGTCGTTCTGCTGAGCTATGAAGTACTTACAATTGATTGTAAATGCGAAATTTAGTGGTCGAAAACAACGAATTTCCCAAATAATTGGTAAAAATTAGCGCATAGCCCCCTCTTTCATGACATTTAACTTTCCAAATTTGTTTATTAGGGGAAATGTTACTAATGACAAAGAAAGCTGGATGACTATCGGCTGACCTACTAATTTTATGACTCAAAAGCCCTGCTCATCTATGGCTTTTATTCTATTTTCACAGACCCTATAAATGTTTTTCGAAATAATTTTCAGTCTATTGATTCTGACACGACCGCAAACAAAAGAGCTACTAAATAAACGGACTAGTTTTGAGCAACAAAAAAAAAAACAAAGAGACAGTGGAGCAACAGCCCATGAAACGCTTCCAATACCTTGGCTAATGTCGTCAACTCTTTGTCGGAGCATAATTGAGGCTTACCTGAGGAGGTGGTTTGCTTTCATTAGCTCGTATCCAGTCCCATGCTTTGAAGAACATGCACCGAAAACCAAAAGCACTAAATCGGATGATAGCCAATATCTTAAAAAAGAAAATCACTCATTTCAATTTTTATGGTTAGTACCGTCATACCAGTAATATACAGAGGATAACTAGCGCGACCTTTATATATCCCGACAACGATATGGCCTCAGTAACAATTGCGTCCACTTCCGCTGAAAGGACACTGTCAGTAGAGTTAAGTACAAGAACAACTGACTTTACAAGCTTGAGGAGACATGTACACGATAAGCTGCTGCAAAGAAAGCTACTTTTCAACCTCCTGGACGCTAATAGAAGATTAAACCGTACCATTCGACCATAATTGTAAGAACTTGACTCTTTTCTTGGTAGCCCCCCTTTCATTTAGGAAGGTCACAAGATACCTCATCATGATGAGAAAATGTCGTGCGTGAGAGGGAGGAGTTTCTGGTTGACATGGCTATTTTAGAGTGATAGTCTAAGAGGACAATTTCAGCGGTTTTTATCGATGCCGACTTTTTCACCGACCCTCAAGCTGCCGTAAGGAGAAAAAAGATCAGTTAAAAAACTAAAACAAATCTGAGAAAACCGATGTGTAAATAGATGAAAAAATTCATTTATACTTTCATGACTCAGGGTGTTTGAAATTGTTTCATCAGCTACTAAGAATGTATAAAATCAATCATTTTAGAATATGTAATGTGACTCATAAAATCCGCTAAATAAAAGGAAATTCAAAGCGCGCAATGCATCTCTTTGCGAGAATCTTCGTGATATTAATTACAGTTTTATACAATGGTGGAATATACCGTCTCACCCCTTCATCAGCAAAATGTGTAGTACAAAAAAAACCGCCTTTGACTTTTTATGGCGATATTTAACACCTGAACACAAGAATTAATCAAATATGGATCAAAACGTCATGCTATTATATGGAATTCAATGCATTTTTGCGGTTTACCCTATCTTCTCCCTTTCTACTTGAGCCATTGCCTTGAACTTTCTTTTTAAACACGCTGTGTTCTTCGAAAATACACAACGCTCTACCATTTCCAAAATACAGAGCCAAACATAATCTACATATAGTTGACTGGTCACTTAAAAAAGTATACATATACATTCGGAAAAAAAGAACCAGCTTTCAAGAATGATTTCCATCGAAAAGAGCAAATTTTCTTCCACGCGAAAATCAGGGAATCATTATTTGGCGAAGAAAAGTCAAAGCATAGGATGGTAAAAAAGGTTATCTCATTTGTATGCTATAGCTTTGGTAGGGCACTAATCCGTTCATAGTTTGGCTTACAGGAAATCTGCAGTTTTAAGCACCATGAGTTGAATCATTTTTGCATGTGACCCTCGCTGCGTCTTCTATTTGAATTAGGCACTAAGCATCGAAGGTCGATCAGGTAAAGCATCAAACACCATTTGCTGGCAAGAGTAAGCGTCTGTTATTTCGGAAGAATTAAAGACTCAGATGGAATGACATTATTTTGAAAACGCCTCTCTGTTCATCGCATATCGCCACGGTAAGTACAGTGAGAACATTTGAATCCGCGCTTATTTCAGTCGCAAATATAATAAAGCGGATGCATAGACTAGCTCTATGTTCGATTGGTTCCAAACCCGCTTTCAAGATCATACAAGGAGGGCTCAGGTGAGGAGCGGGTGATGAAAAAAATAAATAAATAAAATAAATGAATGCTTGTGGTCCCAAAAACACCGAAGGTTTCGAAAAACATTATTCTTCATTCCGATCAGTGAGCGTGTTTTTTCTAAGGCTTCATATCGGAGCTTCTACACATTGGAGGGCCTTTCGCGAGAGAGTGTGATGGTGTTTAAAATGCAAATGATAATGTCACAACTTTTCACAAGCAAGACAAGGAGAAGGCATCAACATTTGCACATTCTTATTCCGGTATTATCCAGGATTTCAAAATCGTCATTACACTTAACGGTCTCTGCGGAGTTGATGATAGAAAAGTTTTGAACCTTCGAGATTACTGTAACGTCGCAAAATGAGCTGACGCGAACAATCACACTTGATTTGCTCAAGGCGACAAGTCTCTTAATCAAGTGCAAAAACGTCAAGAAATTTCTAAATTTAGAAAAAAATCATTTATCCGCGATATCTCGGAAAATCATGATTTTCCGTGAAGCAAGATCAATCAACATCGAAACTTTGCTCCTTCTGCTGATTCTGCTTGTCTCGCAAACTTTGAGCAATGGAAGAAAAAAATACAAAAAATGGTTAATGGTAAAAATAACATATAGTAAATTTCTGCCGTCATGTGAGAGCTGGTCGAAGACACTTTTTTCCAATTTAGGCGTTAAAAGAAGCATATCTTCGTAATTGCTTTTTGCGGGCTTCACTAATGCACAAAGCGTTTAAGAATACTTTAGTTCGCCCTAATGTTATGCAAAACGGTATAACCAGCTTCTGGTACCAGGACTTGATGCAGCATGAACAGTTTCAACGTATGAACCTATAACCTGTGGATTTGGACAATATAGTTAGTGCTGACCAACACTTGCGCGGAAAAGCGGACAGTAGAGCGCACATTTCGAAATTTTGCTCCCTCTGACCACTTTTTAAGCACAAATATCATAAGCAATGCAAAATCACTAGAATGACCGTCAAACCTAGTGATCTCATGGGTCTTGCTTCCTATCCTTTTTCGTACTAACAAAATCTTTTGCCATAGATAGTGGCTGGCTTCTCTCACAACCAAACCACACAAAATCTGGCTTGGATTCCTCTAATGCATGAATCTTGCCTCTGTTTTACAACTAGAATTTTCGTGCTAGTGTGCTGGTGGTATAATATTTTAGTAATCGGTGAAACATTTGTTCAGTTCAGAGAGACCATCAACAGCATGAGATTGATGGTGGTAGATCTAGTCTGGTGATGACGTAAACACAACAATCAGCAAATAGCGGATCAGTGGAATGTTTTTAAGCGTCATGATTACAGTTCTCCAAACAAAGTGCAGTCCAGAAATAACGTTGTCGGATTCAAATTGATTCTTCTTTTTGGATCATAACAAATTATGAAGATTGGTTCCTCTTGCATGATCTCATTTTCCTCTTTCAATCAACATATAATGTTCTGTTCATCCAATGACGTTTAAGTTTAGCATAATCGCTTCAAAAGGAGGAATCGAGTCTGGGTAGAAGAAAAGAAACAAAGCGAACTTTTCAACTCGAAATTTTTGCAAACGTTTGAAACACTCAATTACTTCAGAGCCAAGCTGTTTTGAGTCAAGCGAGGTCGTCATATCCCCCTGCCACAATCGAACGATTCATCCTCTCAAATTGGTTACTCCGAGATCAAAAAATTTAATGGAGATCAGAGCATTATGAGCCGAATGAAAGAGGAAGGAGAAAGACTCCAAAATACCCACTGTGATGACGTTTTCTTTGAGCGTCAAACAGTGTTTTTGCTGGAAAAGGTACTGCGATAAGGGGATTTTTCAAAGAATGACTTTATTGAGTGACTCAAGCTTGAACATCTGTTATGGAGCGCAAGCCCTACTTTATAGCCCTACTTTATTCTTGAGATACTAGACCCAGTTAAGGTCTACTCATTGGAAAGTTATAAAATTTTGTTTGAATAATCCAGAAAGTTTCGTGATAGTTTTGTAAGACGCAGAAAAATAAGACATTTACAAATTTCAAAGCTTACCCGTAATGTTCTGCGAGAGCCGCGCGAATTCCTCCTCAAATTTGTCGCCAAGGTCACCGGCTTTGTCAGTGACAGATTTGAACAGTCGTGTCCCGAGGTTGTTGATCATGCTCATTTGCGCTGTTGTTAGTGAACATACAAGAACACTAAATGAACTTTGACAGAAAGAAGTTGTCTGGCACAGAAGGTAGTGCTAAAAGTGGAATTAAGGTGTAAGAGTGCAAAAAGAGAGAAATCTGTCAACGATAATACATGGCAGGTAGAATGACCCTGGGTAGTCTCAAAGGGTAAAGTGATTCAACGGGAAATTATATAGAACTGGTATTCGGCAGGCAAAAACACACACATAAAACAATTCTGGCGGAAAATAGCATCAGTAGCCAAGCGTAAGAAGATTGAAATCAATACTTAGGATATTAAAATGCGCATAAAATCTTGTTTCTTCTGCGGAAAGTAATGTTTATAATCACGATCGAATTATCTCGACAGTTATATATTGATCTGCAAATTTCCATAAAAACGTTGAGAACATAGTTTACGGTCAAACTAATCCTACACCAAGGAAAAATCTTATGAACCAAGCTATAGTGGTGACAAGGCAGGTGACTTTTGTAACACTCCCTGCTCAGCGTACAAAAAATTGGAGCCCTATGCAAATCGAAAGTACTCTTAGGCCCCGGACAGACTTCACGCGATTTGATCGTCGCGACTCAGTCGCCGACATTTCCAATCATTTTCATTTCACATTCAAAAATTTCGGGCTGGAAAAGTATCACAACCGAAATGCAAGTTGATCGGCATGGAATAATGTTGTAACAGTTGTCTGTCGCGACTCAGTCGCGACGATCAAATCGCGTGAAGTCTGTACGGGGCCTTAGGCCGACAAGGGAGTACGAATTTTTGCTGTAAAACGCAGCAAAACTTGGGATGAATTCGCTCGAGCACTTGAGAGTATACATTTCAGAAACAGTCCAGCAATCACGAATAGGTCGCTGTGTACATGGATAATACCGGAAGTTCTTTAGCACTTTCTGTTGATGCAAGTGGGGGAGTGAAAGCACATGGCATGAAAGCGTTTTCCTCCCACTATTTGTGCGACCTCTTTGTTCATGCCAGATGCGTTCCTCGAAAAATACCGTACTCTTGCAAGATGGGTCTTTTCAACCACAAAAGAATGGATAAAGTATAAATTTCACGAAAAACTTGTGTATGCTCACAAAAGGGCCACAAACACTGTCAAAAATCGTGCAAGGAAGTAAGTGCTTGAATCCCCTTTCTTGCCTATTCTTCCTTAAAGTTTAAAAATAGTTAGAAACATTTTCTCGAGTTTGCAACACTGCCGGCCGCTGAACTTTTCGGACAGAGGGACCTCCAGAAATCCTTTCCAAATTTTCTTTTCGAAAAGTTTCGGATTTTTGCGATCTTACAACATGTAAAAGCACCCGGGACCGGAAATTATTTCGAAAGCTAGATTGAACTCTCATAGAATTTATATCTTGTCATTCACGAATAAGAATAGTTTACTTGTTTATTTTTGAATAAGAACCTAAGAGAAATTAATGATTTGCGGGAAGGGGGCAAGGAGGGCCACCTTAGACAATTTAATTTCTATCAAAAATTTATAGATCCAAGCAGAAAATTCTTCACGCCCTGCCGCGGCGGTTCGTTGCATAAACTAACAAAGAATCGTCGTTTGAGCTGTTCAACAAACAGGAACGTACGCTAAAGCGAAAATGTTGTTTCTGTCACTCAGAGTTAGCAATTTCATAGGTCACGTTGACGAAACAGGATTGACAAACAAAACTGTTTGCGAGAAAGAAACAATACCCGCGTCTATGGAAAATTTTTTCTGAAGTCTAAAGATGCTAGCAATAAGAAGACAGAAAAGTCCGCAAGTTCCAATTATTCTTCTCGTTAGCCTGGAGAAGGAAGAGCAAGTATAATAGATGAAAACTACAAATTAGAGTATGTAGGTCCTCTTTCTTTGACATTTGAAAATCCTCAGCTACTTTGTTGCATCGCTATAGACCCTCTTTATTTTACAACAGGTGCCGATATTGAATGTTCTCATCTATTTTGGTTTGTCATAGCAGTTGTTTAGGTCATTCATAATTACGTGCAGCGAGAAGTCAAAGGAAGAGCTCAGTAATAATTCATTATAGCAAAAATGAGGCAAATTGAAGGATGCAAGGAAAGTGATAGTCATTGTACAGTAGATTGGAGTATCCAATTTATTTATATTACAACCTACAGCAAAAAGTCGTCTCAAGTTTCAGATATGACGTATTGCATTAAATGAGTCAGACCAGCAATGAACACAAAAAGAATCTTATGGACAATAATTCATTCACTTGACATTCCTATAACCCACTGTGGATCCTTTTCCTTCCTCTGACGTTAAGTACATTAATCTGATTTACATTTGTCTCCTCATCATTCGGTTTTTAGAACATGTATTTAGCGCGATCTTCCTTAGGACAACTTTTAGCAAAATACTTTTTTATAGCGACATGAAGAAAGATGAGAGGCAGGCGAGCTAAAGCTTTTTCAAACGTTTAAAACCAATAAAAACACCTAGATCAAAACTTAAGAAAGCAAGTCGATATAAGTTCTTATACTGCTGATAACCGAGAAGATTTGATCAAATTCATCAAGACGCTCTCGAACATATACATACAGGGTGTTTGGAAAAATGTGCATACTTTTTGGTCGTCAATAACTCTACCGCTTCAATGTTTCTTGACGATCTTTGGGTACTTGTAGAGCCAGCTTCAACATAGATTTATAGTTTCGATCGAGTTCCTAACTCTCTTCGTTACTGTAGTATTACGGTAGCATCTTCGAAGAAGGTTCCAAGGATTCAAGAGTGGCTTTTTGCTTCAGGAAGGAAATTAGCTAATCGATGTTACTGATTCTAAATATGATTGTACATCACAGTTTCGCATCTTAAATTATTCCACTTATAGCAGCTGCTTTTCCATGTCCTTAAAAAAATGCATAACATGATCGAAAAAACGCAGAACTTGTAAAATGTTCCGTCATAACATCAGCATGCTTGAAAACACTGCTTTACAATTCCCAGATTTTTTTAAACTTTTTGTCAAAAGGGCCATTTCACAATGACCCTGTAGGTTAAAAATTCATACAGTAATTTTACAGTTGTGGAGAAAGTTCGGAGATTTGCTCCATACTGTGAATTTAAATTGAAGCCTCCCCCAAGAGACTGGTACCTAAGCCTCGTTAGAAGATGAAAAGCAGTATAGGTCATCAAGGTCAAAAAGTGTGCAGATTTTTAGGGGACACTCGCAGAAAGCTTCGTTAGAGAAAACAATGCTAGAAAAAGAAATATCAGTCATTGGAGAAGATCTTCATATGGAATAGCCCGTCTGATTTGGCTGGATGTTGCTACCGTATCAGATTTCCAGCGCAAGCTGTGGGAAAAGTATGATAGCCACTCAGTTACCCACTCTTCTCCGAGAAGATAGTTGTTTTGCTTTTTGCTTTGCGCAAATAAAACTTCAATGTTATCCGGCTATCTCTTCAACAGCTTTCGATTAAGGTCATTGCGTGATAAAGCATCACAAGCAAAACTGCAGATTTCAACAAAGCTCCATAGTAAAGGTTCTAAAGGAATTTTAGCAGTGGTCAATCCAATCAGCAGCTGAAATTTCTTATTGTTACCAAGAAACGAGACTTCCTTATCAAAATAGCAAAGGTGACGAATTCAAGCGTAAGGAATCAAAGAAGAGAACCGGATGAGTCATGTTCACAAAACGTCGGTGCTAAGGTCTGTTTGATGACCCAACGTTCCATCACATTGTAGCGGCAAGGTCGAAGGGCTGTTTTTCTAGCGCAAAAACATCGTTGGCGTAGAATAATGGCGAGTTTGTTGACTGATATTTGAGCAGAGCTTTTCATTGTGTTTGACTTCAGCGAAGTTCTTTTTAGATGAACTAGAGGGGTGCCAAGACATAAGAACGGGAATTAGTCATACTTGCGCGCCAAAGTTGAATTTATAAGTTCTTTTCAGCAAGAGAGATGCCTATAAAGGGCTGAGATAGAAGAGAGATTCACATTGATTTAGTCCTTGAGCACGAACAAGTCCAACTAAATTTACAAAAAAAATCAAGGGAAGTCAGACCGTACATATTCATGACACGATTTTTCGGATCTACTGCGTTCTTCGGTTTTTTGCAGCCTCGTCTTTCAGAAAAAAACTGTTTAGATAAACTATGCTAGAGGTAACAAAACCTAGTGGTAGATTGAATCTGTATTAAGGTTTAGCCACACAATCCTATTTTTGCGGTTCACGTTGCCCGCGGAGCGCGAAAACTGCTGCCTTTAGAGTAATGCTGAAGCTTGGCTGCGTTGGGCATCTTTTTTTAGCACTAGGGGGAACCAAAGGTAAGGGAAGGGAGGGTTACAATAGACTTACGTGAGTTAAAAATTTTTTTCGTAAATAAAGCCACCTTTAATCTTTGTATCATTTTAAATTTCCGGTTATCTTTTTCAAGGTTATAAAACCACCCAAATTCCATCCTCAGACAAATTTTTTGTCGTCCTTCAAAAAAAAAGTCTTGGACCATTACTGTTTGAAGAAAAAATGACGATAGTGTTATTCACCTACTTACTGGAGTCCTGCATTCTGAAAATACTCAATTTACGTAAAAGAAACAACGAATTTACATCTTGGTAACCTTCAGCAAGAAAAGCGACTGCGCATAAAACCAAACCACTGACAAAGGTTGAATCTCTTCTTCAAATGCCATTATCGCAATGATCAGCGTACTGAATTGCTGAGAGAAACAATCAAATGCATGTTATAATCGAATCTGGACAAAATAGACGTTCTTGATTTAGAGAGGAGTGAAATGTGAAGAGACATTCGAATTTTTCGTATAGGCATGACTCATATCATAACGAGAATTATAGTGCACATCAAATTTTCTATTCAAAAATGACTAGGAATGTGCGGAGTGCATGACTGCGCCTTTGAAACTGAGGAAAATTGCAGCGATTAACACTGCAATTCGTGACAGGAGTTGCCAATTGTTCTGTGTACAGAAAAACTTGATTTCGCCTACGAAATCTGGACTTTCTTCCAAACATCTGGAGTCACTTGGCATATGTTCCCCGTGAGAGAACC